TAACTCACAATATGTCTTGTCTCATTTACAATCCTATTTGTGACCGTCTAATTCATAACACCCGAAAAAAAAAGGTTGTGCTTATGAGATATTAGTGTAGTCAGCTAATTAATCATTAGGATATAAATATAACCTTTTAATTCAAATTCTAATTATAGAGCTCAAGAACATTTAATTGAGATTCTAGAAAGCTTATTATATTCAACTCTATTTTTTATGAATGTAATTTTTTATTCATTTTATTTCTTTTATAATGTTAATATTTTCTACACTAATATTTACATCATTTGCACACAAAATGAAAGATTGTAATACACGATATTTTCTACACTAATACTACTTGATTTCAACTTTTAACTAATCCATTGGTGTGATAACAAATTATTTATACGTATTTTAAATATTCAGTTCAAATTTAATTCCAGATTCAGAACTTGAATAACTTCTCAACGTTCTTTCATAAAACAAATATATCGGATGTTGGGTCGAGCCCCTGGAGGATATCATTTTAGTCATAAGCCCACGTAGGATATAAAAAACTTGGGTAAACTACTAGAATGGTCACTTATCTTTTATAATTGTACACTTTTACTTACTAAATTCAAAAAAACTTATGTTTTAGTCACTTACGTTATCATTTTATTAAGTTTTGATCATTTGGACGTTGAATATCGTTGGTTTAATGATATGACATGCTAGTAAAAAGATTTAGTTTTTATTTTAAATATTGAACATTAGATAAATATTGATTATGTGTCTTTTTGTAAATCCAAATTAATTTAGAGAAAAAATTTCACTATCAAGGAGTCTTATCTGTAACACAGCTACATTAACTAAGGCCACTATGCTGCAAGGCACCCCATATTTATTTATTTGATCTGATAAGTCATCCAAAATGGAATCCCTATTGTTATAGCTTCAGCTCAAAAGTTGACAAAAAAGCTGTTGACTACCCTAAACAAGTTACATCATGAACATAAAGATCATTGTACTATACTGTACCTACGTATCAGTTGTCTAATCTTTAGAAATCATTATAATATTTAAGAATTTTATGTGGCCATTAGCAAAGGGGCAGCCTTTCAGAAAACCCTCAAGCTATGTCCTAAAGAGTAGTGCTGTTAAGGAGATGCAGAAGGCAAAAACGTTCTTGTTGTTCTTTCTTTAAGGTTACCAAAAGTTTTCGTCTTTCTTGGGTTTTGTTTTGACACTTAAACAGTGAACATAGTGGAGAACAACCCATTATACAAAAACACAAACAATGTCCGCCTATGAACACATAGTGTCTAATAGCCTCTAAATGAATTGAATTGAGTTTGAGTATTTTTTTATTTGAACTCAATTTCAAAAGTTTAAAATTGAGTTTGACTTAATTCAAAAATTTATGAGCTTAAAATTATTAAACTCGAGTTAAAATTGGAATAAAAAATTAAAGTTCGACTCAAATTCGTAAAAACTTAAACTTGAATTAAAACTCAAGCTTTATCCTAAACCTTAAATAAATAAAAACCTTACTAGATTAGTTTATAAAAAAAATAACATATAAATATCTTTCGAGTCAAGTAATCAGTAATTCACTTTGACTTGTTAAGAATTCAAATCTCCATTTGAATTAAGGATTGATCAAGCTGATATGTCTAGTCTCGTTTGCAATCCTAGTGTCCAACAAGATCACACACAATCTCTAGTAGTACAATGGGGTATTGGGGTGCTCAAATGATTAGTCATTTTTCTTCGGGAAAACTTTACAAGGAGAGGGAAAGGGGAAAAAGGCAAAGAAAGTGGAAGTAAAATCTTAAAAAAGTAGGAGACTTGATAGGTCCTAACAGCCAAGTAGTAGTATATATACTAAAGATTGTACACCAATAAAGGAAGAGAAACAACAAATTCTTTTTACTGATAATTTCCCTGCAAATGAGGCCTTCCTGCTTAGCAGTCTCTCTTCTGGTGTATTTCATTTTCCTTTCCAGTGTTAACGGTAAATATGACTATAATTTTTTCGTTATAACAACTGAGTTAAATCATTAGATTATGACTTCTTTGCGTTGTTTCGTTTTGAAGGGATCCGCTTGGAGAGAAGCTTCAAATCAACAGAGAACCCTAAGTTGCATGTTGGTGCTATGATGAAGAAGAACAGTTATGGAGTTAAGCGAGATTTCATCATCTGCAGAAAAGGGCACTGTACAGGTACCAAGAAGAACAAATCACACCACTGGATACCAAGCATTCATGAAGATTACCGTGGACCTAGGAGGCACAGCCCAAGGCACCACTAAAATCCATCATTATCTTTCTTCCATGACCATTTTGTTGAACCCTAGGCCATGTAATCTGACAAACAATTTTGTTAACCATTATTATTTCTCTTTTGAAATGTATCAATTATGTGTAAGAAGGTGTCTTGATGCACCAAATCCAACAGATTTTCTTGGCATTCATGTTTGTCAGGAAAGAGCAGGACACTATTTACTGCAACTGCTGCTACTACTACTTCTACCAAGGTTGGTTAATAATTTACCAGCAGTTAAAATCAAAGTATTTCCATAGGGTTTAGGGTTAAAATCTTCACTTAACATGTAATTATGATGTCAATGTACACAGAGGGAAGACAATGGAGAAAATAACAAGGCTAACCCTACATCGAAAGTGAAGTTACTCATCGAAGAAAATGGTGGGAAGCAGTATGCCGATGTTATGGAGATTGCTGATCTGGACTATTCTCCGGCTAGGAGTAAGCCTCCGATACACAACTAAGGGTAGGGAGAAAGGTTAAACTCTCTAGATAACGTTATCGAACAAATTATTTCACGATATAATGCTCTCCCAAGATTAATTGCTCAAATAGGGTGAAATCTACAGTGTTGGCCGTAGGTCGTCATGTCATCCGGGCGACCTACTAGGTCGCCATGTCTTTCCGGTGAGTTATGAGAGAGATTTCATGTGCAATGCACGTTCCAACACGCTGGGTATCCGAGGCCATCCGAGCGAGCTATGCGAGGGCATCCGAGGGCAAGAGGAATCACGCGAGGAGCAGGAGGGAGTGTATGGCGACCTACAAGGTCGCCCGAAGTGCATGGTGACCTATGCTTGGGGACGTGCATGGCTGGCCACGTAGTAGGTCGCCCGGAAGTCATGGCGACCTACGGCCAACACTGTGGATTTCACCCTACTTGAGCAATTAATCTTGGGAGAGCATTATCTCGTGAAATAATTTGTTCGAAAACGTTATCTCGAGAGTTTAACCAGAGAGAAATGACTAAAGAGAGACGATTTAAAAAAATAAGTAAAATGTTTTCGAGGATTAAGATAAATTTAAAAGGAGCTGGACAGCTTTCCAGGAAAACTGCATGTTTTCTAGGGTTAGGAATGAATTTTGCTCATTATATCTTTTAGGCTTAATTAAAATATAAGTGACTTTAATTATACTTTGTGTATAATGTTTACGACGTTATTATTTAAAGTCCTTGGTTCGTTACATCCGTTAAAAAATTCATCGTTCAAAATATAATCATACGTTGAATTTATGAATAATCTATTTCCCTAAGAGTATCCGCAAGACCAACTATGAAAACTGAAACTATTTATCCTTTTGTATATTCAATACTTCATTTTATTTTATTTATTTAACCTCATAAATATATTTTTCATAATTTTACACTTATAAAAGATGTTCTAATAATTTCTGCCTCTACAAATTATTTTAATATTCTTTAACAGCTTTTATTCTTCTTATCACATTAATCTTTAGCTCTCAAAATATTTCATAACTTTACGTAATTAATCAATTTAATACTCAAGGCAATTTGGTTATGTATTGACATTGGGCCTCTTAACTAATATCGTTGACGTCACCTCAAACATAAAGAATGTCAGCTTTTCTGGACCTCACATACAGATAATGACAATCCTACACTTTCAGAGCTTAGACGATTGAAACTCTACCATGTTACTAACCACAACAACAAAATCCTATTTTCATATGTAATAGGAAAAGGGGAGGTATAGTAGTAGGTTACCCCAACGTATGGTTGAAATCAACTTCCGTGGAAGACCTCAGACAGTCAAAAATTAAAATAAAGATAAAATACAATACATGTATAAATAAATAAAGAAATGCATAGTTGAATAGTTTTCATATGTAGTCTTCATAAGCGCGTTTGTACTGGGAAGTACTCCCTGCAAATAAATCTCTGCGTAAAAAATCTCTGTATATTGACAGAACCGTAAGACCCGACTAAAACTTAAAAAGAGAAAACATGAAAAAAATGATACACAGTAGTCAACGTTACCAAGCTAATAGAATGAATAAAGTCCAATGGGATAAAACCTAAACTAAGGTAACACTACTCCGCTATCCTAGTTCTAAGCCTTCATAAATTCAAGTGACAGAAACGTATAAAAAATACAAGTTATGGAAATTACTATAAATGCATTAAAAGAAGACAGAGATGACACACACTATAGATGTGACCCGCACTACTCTACCACCCTGATCTTAAGTCTCCATAATTTCCTATCAGAGGTCATGTCCTCGATAAAAACTAAATCCTTCAAATCAAATCAAATCCAAACCTATATTACACCCAATCCTGGCTCATTATCCCATTTAATCCTACGACACAAATAATTATAATCCCAATTAAACATACAAACATTGATTCTAAATTAGGACAGACAACTCTCTCCTCTCCACGAAATTTTCTTGAATAAAACATATGTGAATATTAAAACTTCATTATTGACTCTGGTTTCTAAGTGGATTACTTGACATTATGGTTCCTCTATAAGATCTTGCCCAATGGTATCACATGTTCCTTAGCTCCTTGACTTCTCTCGCAAGAATCTCACTAGTTCTTCAAACGGCAATTCAAGACAAATCTCGATGGACTTGAATGGGATGATGTTAAACTTATAAATTTTATACACACATAATTAATATAAATATAATTTTCCAAAGATGATTAATGTGAAAATAAATACCATATAATAAATAAGGGATATCTTCAAAATTCCATGTCATAATTTGACAAAATCCGAACACATACCATGTAAATGCAAAAACAACGAAAAACAATAGGGCATCTAACAGTCAAATACTCTTCAAATCTAGAGGCACTTCATCCACTTTTTAATGTCTTCCTCATAGGTTTTCTATAAACCCCAAGCACTCATGCTTACATGCCAGTGAAAGCTTTCTTCCCACCGCCCGAAGATCCAGCAGGAATCACTTTCAAAACATTGAACCTCACAGTCTTCGACAATGGCCTGAATTACCAAAAATAACATAAGACACGAACAAACTACAAACATAGCAGGACTAGACATAACGTAACCACACAGAAGTATAGCAGATGTTATAATTTAGAAGTTTTACCTGCATTGTCCGATAATGACATGGTCCCCTTCCTTCACGCGGAAGCAGGGAGAAATATGAGCAGGGATGTTCGAATGGCGCTTCTCATACCTAAAAATGGAAGGAAAATTTTAGGAAAAACTACCGTTTGCTTAAGAAAAGTACATTCAAATTAAGCTGGATCATACCTTTGGTATTTCTTGATAAAATGAAGGTAGTTCCGTCGAACAATGATAGTCCTCACCATCTTGGCACTATGGCAAGTACCAGCCAAGATACGTCCCCTGATTGAAACGGTACCGGTGAATGGGCATTTCTTATCGATGTAAGTTCCTACAAAAAGGAAAATAAGATACAGAAATTTGCTAAAGGATACAACAAATCTTAATCTGGCTAACAACTGAATCCTCCATAACATTGGATTCTTAATGTTAATCGAGTCAATTAAGTACTAAAACACTTTTTTTGTGTATACCTGATTTACAAGGGATCCATTTTCTGAAAATTTAAAAGGCAATGCAATATAGAAACAAAGCAAATTATTAGCTAGCACGATAATGCCATTCCAGATAGCTTAAAGAAATCTTAATTCAACTTAAGCTACTAATACAAGTAACAATCAGAACTCATATATAACTAGAGATGAGCATTCGACAGAATGAGACAAAATAATTTGAGTTATTCGAAAATACATATAATATGAAACAGAAAGGAAAAGAAACCTTCAATAGCTTCACGAGGGGTCTTGAAGCCCAAACCAATGCTCTTCCAGAAGCGGTTCCCTCCCTTTCCTGGTCTCTTCCCTTTCCCAGATTTCTTAGAGCTGAAAAACAATATCAACTCGATTAAAAAAAACCAAATCGGAAAAGGAAAGAAAGATCAAATATTTCAATGGAATTGAACAGTGAGATTACCTTAGAAACACTTTGGGTTGCTTCAAAAACGCCTTCTCGGTCTGCAAACAAATAAATGATAAGTACAGAAAAGAAAATACTGTGACAGAGAGAACAAGAGTGGATCTCAGTGTAGACCTGTTCCGCCATTGTTGATGAAGTCTCTGGATAGGTTTGCGCGGCTGGTTGCGGGCAAAGGGAAATAAAAAAAATAAGGGAGATGAACTTTGAGGAACCCTAACCCTAAGACTCTAAATCTTTTCATAAGGGGGTGAGTTTGGGTCAATTAATCAATTTGGGCCTTCAAATATATTAAAGCAATTTCAACACTGATTCACTACTCAAAAACTCGGTCTACTTTAATTTGTTTCAATGCAGTCTTAATGACTTTTGAGGCCCAAAGATCAACTTAAATCGATTTAGATTTTATTTTTGGTTTAACTATCGATATTCGATTTATTGATCGATTATTTTATATTGAATTTTGCAGAGACCTATTATGGGTGCGAACTTTTATCCCAATTTGCTCTACTCGTAAATGTCAATATTCAAACTCATGATATTGTTAAAGAATCTAGTATTTTATCTTACTAGACCAATTGGTTGTTGACTAAACTTTATTGAATATTTTGATTGAAAAGTGTTTTAGATAGGGAACTTATCAAGCAAATCGAATGTGATAAAAAAAGTCTCATCATTTTTTTATAATTATCGATATCTAATCTATTGATCAACCAATTCAGATTGGATATTGCAAAAACGAGAGCGGTCCTCTCAACCCAATTAGCTTCATAAGAAAACGTCGGGACTCGTACATTTGATTTTGGTTAAAGGATATAGTACTTCATCCCCTTAGGGTGTGTTTGTTTGGGAGAATGTGAGATTCTCATGGGAATGAAATCCACATTTCCCCGTTTGGTTGGCCAGGAATGTTATTTCCGGTAATCTTACAATACCAATAGTGGATTTTTTGGATATATTACCGGAAATGTCATTACCTCTCTTTTCTTAGGTATTGTTGGATTACCGACGTTTTGAACTAAAATGCCCTTAATTTTTTTTCTTTCAAAAATATCTTTATTCTGTCATTGAATAATAAAAATTCTACGAAGGTTAAATTACAAATTTATCCTTAAACTATTTTTGATTTACAAAAAAAAAAGTCTATAATTAAAATTTTATATGAAGTTCAGGGGTTAAAATAAAATTTTACCCTTTCATTAAACATTTTTATATTTTCAATTTTGTAAAAAAAATTATATAATTTTTATGAATTTAAATTTTTTAAAGAAAATATATAAATATTTTTCAACTTGTTAAAAAAACAAATATATACCAAGGACAATTTGATCAAATATACATTCCAATAATATTTTATTCCTTTAACCAAACATGGTTATCTTACATTCCTGCTAAACCAACCAAACACAAAATACAACATTTCCAATAATCCTATTTCCTGATAATCTTTATTCCTACTGGTAATCTTACATTCCGTGAACCAAACGAACCCTTAGATCAATGTGTTATTGGTATCTACTACATGTCTTCATCCTTATTAAAAGGCTTTTATGAGTTAATTTTTAATTTTTTAAAGAGAAAATAACATCAGTGACAAAAAATGTCTTATAATATACGATTTTAACCAACTTTTTTTGGATTTGCCAAAATGACCAACTAAATCGCAATGCGATCGATAATTCGCAACGTGATCTCCGGTATCGCAAATCAGTTTCCAGATTCGCAACGCGATTCTGACTATCGCATTGCGATTTTCCAAATTCGCATTGCGATTTTCCTAATTCGCAATGCGAATACGTAAATCGCAATGCGAATTTATTGCGAATACGTAAATCGCAATGCGAATTTGGAAAATCGCAATGCGAATACGTAAATCGCAATGCGAATACGTAAATCGCAATGCGAATCTGACTATCGCAATGCGATTTACATAGCGCCATTCGTATCCAACGCGTACCTTTTTTTTCAAATTCCAAACACGAATATATTAATATATCGGAACACTAAACCGTCCACAGTATATCCCGTAATCGCAACTCATAACCTAAAACCCTAAATCACAACTCAGTCTCATCTCCATCTCTCACTCTCTAAGACGACATCTGTCCCCATCTCTGACGAAATCAGTCCCCATCTCCGACGATATCAGTCTCCATCTCCGGCGAAATCATTCACGGTCAGAAATGGAAAATCAACTAAATCAACCACCGATGGTTAGTTTTTTTAATTATTTTTATTTTGAAATTTTTGTATTATTATTAGGTTTTTCATATTGAAATTGATGATAAGTTTACTGGTGTTTTCAATAATAGATTAACCATTTCACTTAGATTGCTTATTATATTCATTCGATTGCTGCCAATACTGCTAAACTGTTTAGTCTTTAACCCTGTGAAGTTAGTATTTGTCTTTGTTTTGTCTTTTGGTTGAAGTAATGCAATCCATTCAAGTTTCTTTCAATTTTAGTATTTGAAACCGAGAATGACTATCGCAATGCGATTCTGTCGTTGCGATTTTCATTTCGCGTTGCGATAGTCATTTTCGTGTTGCGATTTTCATTTTCGTGTTGCGATTTTAAGTTTCAGAAACTATTCTTCTTATGCAAATTGAAACTTGAATGAATTGCATTACTTCAACCAAAAAACAAAGACAAATACTAAATTCACAGTGTTGCAAATTTAAGTTTGAAGAATAAACTACTACTCTTTATGTTTATTGTTCTTGTTATATCTTCACAGTGTAGTTAGTGTAGTTTTTGGTATATCTAACTTGGTATGTTTATTGTTTTTGCAGAACTTTTATTCGGCTCAATTGACCTTAAGAAATAAAGTAAGCCTGGCCAAAACAATTGCGTCGAAGCTTTCATCTGCACAAAGAAAAATATTTGAGGATACTTGCTTCGGGCCATGGCTGAAAGTACAACATCCAGGTGGAGATGCTATGTTGACCCATCTGTTTCTTCAAACCATGACTAGCGATCTACCAGAGACTATACAACGTCGTGATGAAGAGATATGGTTTGAATTTCCATCGGCGTATACGTGTTTTGGGCGGGAGGAGTTTTGCTTAATCACCGGTCTACGCTTCGGACACGATGATGTAAATCGGTACACTAGACATATTACCCGCCTATCATGGTTTTCCCGGGTTTTTCCTGAGCTGTCGAATTTACACGTGGAAGACTTGACGAGATTATTGAATAAGAAAGATGGTTTTACTCGGATGGATGACGTCGATGTTGTCCGAGTATGCCTTCTAATACTTTTGCAAGCCGGCTTTTTAGGCAGAGAGGCCCGACAACCTATTCCTAATGATCTAATTAAATTGGTAGAGGACCTAAATGCATGGAACATGTTTCCGTGGGGTTCGTATCTATGGAGAGCTACATGGAATAAGTTGTCGTCTTCCTTTGATGATCGAAAAAGTTTGCGTGGCGATAGTTCTAAATACACTTTGTCAGGCTTTATTTGGGCCTTTAAGGTAATAATTTTTATATAATGTTTCCATAATTATAATTAATTCTTTAACACTTACTAATGTTTGTTATTATATTGTTTGTAGATTTGGATATTTGAGGCATTTTCCGCCATGCAGACATATGCATTAAAAACTTCTAATGATATTCCTAGGGCTATTTCCTGGAAGAGGAAACGGTCCTTACAGCAATGGGAAGATTTACTACCGTATACTACAATAAATAATGTAAGTTAACACAAATACTACCATATGTTTATAAACAAGTTATTACTAGTACACGTTTAACTTTGTTTGAGCTTTTATATTGTTAGGAGGCCAACACTCCATTACAGAGGCTGAAACCCATGAAAGCTGATCTTGCCACTGATTGGTGGCAAGCTAGTAAGTTTTTTTTTGATGGCACGGATGATGAGTACCCACCACTTCGAGAGCCATCACCTCACCCAGAGCCATCACCTGATCGACCCGAATATACACCTCCACAACGAGAGTCATCACCTATTCTGTCACATCATCGAGCTTCTTCTCCACCATCACCTCATGATAGGCGACCGACAAAGATGCCACGACGTTTATCTCCCTGTTCTCCACCTCCACGGGATGAGTTAGGGGAGTTACGTAATGAGGTCAATGCCTTGCGTGAGGAGGTCGGTACTTTACGCAATGACAATGGTGCATGGCGTGTTGATGTGTCTACTTTACGTGGTGAGGTAGCAGCTCTACGTGAGATTGTAGCATCGTTGCAGAACGAGGTTCATACTCTACGCAACGAGATAAGTTTAATATTTTTCATATTTAACTTGATGATAAATTTACTCGTAATTTCACTTAGATTGCTTAGTAAATTCATTCGGTTGCTGCCAATACTATTTAACTGTTTATTCTTTAACCCTGTGAAGTTAGTATTTTTTTTGGTTATCTTTTGGTTGAAGTAATGCAATCCATTCAAGTTTCAATTTGCAGAAGAAGAATAGTTTACTATCGCAATGCGAAAATGACTATCGCAACGCGAAAATTACTATCGCAACGAGAGAATCGCAATGCGAAATGAAAATCGCAACAACAAAATCGCAACGCGAAAATGACTATCGCAATGCGAAAATGACTATCGCAATGCGAAAATGACTATCGCAATGCGAAAATGACTATCGCAATGCGAAAATGACTATCGCAACGAAAGAATCGCAACGCGAAATAAAAATCACTTTTGGATTCTCTCGTTGTGATAGTCAAATTCGCATTGCGATAGTCATTTTTGCAAAACGATAGTCATTTTTGCAAAACGATAGTCATTTTCGCGTTGCGATAGTCATTTTCGCGTTGCGATTTTAAGTTTCAGATTCTATTCTTCTTCTGCAAATTGAAACTTGAATGAATTGCATTACTTCAACCAAAAGACAAATACTAACTTCACAGTGTTAAAAATTTAAGTTTCAAGAATAAACTACTACTCTTTATGTTGTCATTGAACCTGCATTAAACCTATATGTTATCCTTTTAAATGTTTATATAAGTGCTTACTTCTGGAATGTTATCTGATGCATTTTGTGAACAATGTGTTAGGATTTTCGGAAGCTCGAAACGATAACCGGAACGATTTGCAAAGAGGGGTCGGAACGGTTTTGTGTTTAGGGAGTAAGGAGATTGAAAGATAGAGAATTGCACAGTGATTTATAGTGGTTCGACTTTCTCAATCAAAGTCTACGTCCACTACCTTAGCTCCTCACTAAGGATTTTCCAACAAATTCACTAA